TTTTATTCAGCTATTTTTTATCACTTATTCAGGTGATGATCAAACTTACGCAGCCTTCATCTCACCGTCTAGCAATTACCAACTTAAAACTATCTTTACAAGCGCCGTTCAGCTTAGGATACAATCGTTTTTCAGTCGAAAATCTTGCATCTAGTAGGAATTTAAATTTTTGTTTTCTTTTTCAAAGTAATCCAAACTGTGCTGTTGCAGCATATTTTTTTTTTTGTTTTAGGTTTTAAATTATATAAAGCCTCGACAAGACAAATTCAAGATGCAGTTAAGATTGATTTTCAGAATCGAAGGTTTCAAACGTTGTCTATCATCAAGGAACTTTGTTTGTTTCCTTTTTTGTTAAAGAGGGGAAGGCAAAAGAAATTCCGGAAAGAACGATGGTTGTACAGTATGTAATTGATAATCCAAGTATTCCACAACGGTATGGTCTTGCTTTAGTTTTAACAACAGTACAATTTTGTTAACTAATTCAAAAAAATTTTTCTGAACTAGCTGTCTTATTCATAAACAGTTTTTTCTAAGTGTTATCGATTTGTTTCATTAGGCAACTAATAACACCAATACCAGAAACACTTTTATTCAATTTTCATCGAAAGGTCATGTTTATAATTTCAGATTGATGACTTGTGAAAGTGAAGTGGCTTGCGGATGCTATGTAGCTTCAAAATATGGAGCTTTTTTTGTTGGCTTAGTTAGTGATTTGTTAGTTTTTGCTGGGTTACAAACACAGAAATAAAAGCACTGTTAAAGAGTTCAAAACTGTTATCGGCATGCTTCTGTAAATAAATAAAATTACTTTAAAATTTTTTTTTCCGAAAATGCATGTCGACTCTGTTGTTAATTCCCACGAACACTTTTTGGTAAATTATTCTTTAGCGCTAGTTTATCCGCTCTGATCTAACAGTATCATATCATCAGTTGAATGTTTCATAAACTCATGCACCACTGGAAAATTCAGTACAGTTTCGCATATATATATTAACACGATATATTTCTGGCTGACTGATTCAGAAACAATAAAAAATTTGTTTTTTAGAAGGATGGAAGTTGCGTAGCTTTTGATTTGTCGGAACCGCTACGTGTTTTTAATACTGAAGTTAATTGGCCGGGAGTCGATGAGCCTTTCAAATTGTGCACTCCAGCTTACGATACTGCATTTCAAAGTATTAGCTCGGGCGAAGGCGATGATATGAGATCACCGGTAGTGGGAATCAACGCAACGGCAAATGCAGCTGAAAAGTTTTCATTTTGAGGATAAAATTTAGTAAACAAGCTAGCAAAAAAAATCTAAAAAAACCTGAATGAGTTATTCAAACTAAGTTATGGCCTAAACTGTTTCCAGAATTGGGCAAGTAGGCAACCATATCGTGACCGCAATTTTATTCATAACACCTATTCTTTTTGAATTTGAATATCATCAATTCAGATGTTTCTTAAAACAAACCGTAGAATTCTTACTACTGCTGTATTTTTCCTTGAAAGAATTTCAAGAATTTCAGGAATATTTCTTATCAAGTGGCTAGCATTAATGAGATGGGTACCATATTTGTGTGGACGATCTCAGAAGCTGACAAGGTTAGCGCTGTGGTCGACCTTGGGCTCCGCCCGGGAGCAAGACTCAGGATGGCCTTAACTTCAATTATTCGCCTTAGTGCTGCTGGTTCAAGGTACCGTGGAAATTATCTTGTGTTTCGCTAAAATTAGTACAGAAAACTTTGAGCTAATTACTGCAGTAAACTAACGGGAACTTCAACGCTGAATGTTCGGTGTGTAGAGTACGACCAGAATGATCCATTCCACTTTTACATCGGCACGGACAATAAAGTAATATTTAACTTTACCCGTGCAAAAGGCTGGAGTTATACCGGTCCAAAAGCATATAGAACTCAAGGTATCATTTCATTTTTACGTGTTTCATTTGTAAAAACAAACTGCCCATGAAATTTCTTCACAAGTAGTTAAAAACATTGACAGCAGAATTTGATTGGCTTTACTCGAAGAAAATATTGTCAACTAATAAGAATTTTGGGTCGATTAGCCTCCTTGATTTTAACAGGGTAGTCTAAGTCAAGTAAAATAAAGCGTTTTGGCGCAAATGCTCAATGCTATTGAAAAAACTATCCGTAAAAATGCTAGTGGTCCATTACACCTTTAAGTCTAAAAAACCAATAAACAATAATGTGTCCAAGTCTTAAAAAAAAACTCCAGAAAGATGAAGAATAAAGTTTTCCAGTATAATGCTGTCATTTAGGTCTACCAGTCGAAATTTTGTGTGAAAGATTTTCACCTTTTGATGCCAAAATCTTTTTGGTAAGAAAGTTACCGATCAATTGCTAAATGAACACAAGAAAGAATATATGGCGATGTCTTTAATCTCGAAAAAAATTTTGCTCTGGTGGCATTTTCAAGAAATTTCGGCAGTATCATCTACTTATCGTAAAGAATTTGTTAAAATCGTTTCCTTTCTCTGAAACAAAAACTTCCTTAAAAAACGGATCTAAATTTTCAAAAATATAGGAATGTGACTGTACTTGAAGGTTGGTTTATCAAATGGTCAACTGCTGTTTTTCAAAATTGATCGTGCTCATCCGTTACTGAAAATAGAAAATCCAGATAACAAGCAAGTTCCAGTTACACAACTTGAATTTTCACCAAGGTAGGTCATGCTGATTAGGAATTATAGAACAGCTGACTATAGCTTAAGTTTTGCAGTGTTTGTACAGTGTTCTACGCAGTGTATGCTGGGAAAATGCTTTATCAGTGGGATTTGAACAGTGGAAAATCACCAACCTTACGTTACGATATAGGGCAGCAGAATTCGTCAACTTGTACGTGTACAGCAATGTGGTCGCAAAAAAATAGCGAAACTGAATCCCAAGGATTTCTGGTAAGTTCAGTTTTATCTCCATTTGCAAGTAAAAAAGTAAAACTATTTGTGCTATTAAAAGTTCAAATTTTTTCCTTGCGACTCTATTTTCTGCAAATGTTAACTATTGGCTCGATCAACTTGGGAAAATTTTTCTTGTTATACTTAAAAATGTCCAAAATTTGTACCATTTTAGGCATTTGGACTCAGAAATGGAGAACTGCAAGTGCACGCCATTAAGCCGGGGGCAAACAAAAAGACATCCAAAGATCTATCAAGAATAATAACAGATTTGAACGAAAAAACTTTATGACGATCACTTCTTGAACAAATGATCTGCCCAGTTGGCTTGCGAAACCTTTTGCTGTACAAGAGTCTGAAAGTCTTCCCTGATATTAAAAAGTATCACTCCCAGACGATGCTAAAATTGAATAAAAATAAAACATCGAAAAACCTTAGTGAGGAAAACACTTTAACACTTTAAATGTGCATCAAACTTCCAAAGTCCCCACGACTATCAGCTGCCCTCGAAAACCACTCCATGCCGCTCAATTCCATGCGATTACCACATCTGAATTTCACGAATGAGCAACCTCATCCCACTGAAAACAGAAGACTGCAGCT